AAAGTGTATGTTTATGTATGGTAATGAATGTTTTTTTTTTGACTTGATGTGAGTTCTTGTCTATGTACTGTTTTAATATTTGTTTAAAAAGTGGCATGTTAAAAAATAGGTGTATTTAAAGCTAGAAAACAAAAAAAAAAGCTAGAAACAATCTTATTTCACTACAGAAATTTCAAGTTGAAAACTGTCCGCATATTAACCTTCAATTTGGGTTTAAGTCTATAAAGCCTATGCAAATTATAGGTTTAAGCCCTACTTTTTGTTACCATGCGAATGAAACCTACATTTCTAGTCCGTATTTTAAGCTAAAAGTAGGTTTTAAACATAAAAAAAGTTTTCGAACTCCCATTTCTGTGAGTTCTTCCCTTTTGCTTTAAGTCTACTGTACAGTAAAGCTAAATCGCTATATGTTCAGGCAGTAGTATCACAGAATTCAGGCAATTAAAGCACTCCGGGACTTGAGCACCGGGTTTCCTTTTCCTCCTGAAGGTCAGAATTGCAAAAGGGAGCAAGAGCAACCCTTTGAAAGGTAAAGTTCAAGCTCTACGAAGGTAATGCCCACTGTACGTGTGATTGTGATTGTGACTGTGAGTGTTTGGTTTTCGGTTTGGGTTTGAGTTTCGGTTTTGGGATACCTACAATCCGACAGTTCCAACAGTCCTACAATAATGCACTCACCAACACCAACTCAAAACCATCGAGAATCCATATCAGCACGGAGGAACAATAACAAAACGCCGCAATAACAAAACATTCGTGCCCCGGACAAACGGACAAATGGACAAACGGAACGGACGGAAAGTTCAGACATACACACTGGCACACCTACGTTCTTAGAGCCACGGGCAGCCACAGTGGTGGGGAAGAAAATAGCACCAAGTTACGGGGCAGGTTCCTAAACTGGTTTCTCTAAGATGTTGTACGAAAACATTAAATTTTAAATATTTACACGAGATTTCTTCTTATCTAATACAAATATTTGTTGTTACTTTTATACGATTATACTATACTGTGATCATATACTATATAACTTTACTAGAATTTCATATAAAAACTTGTTTTCTGTATAAAAAAATTTAAAAATGTTTGATCCCTATATGATCACAACCCGAAATGTTCAAAACTGGATTGTCACATTAAAAAGCTTAAAGGAGAGGTCCTTGAAATGAAATACTTTCTATAACTAAAGTAGAAAACAATATTTATAAATTGTCAACAAATTTAAAACTTGTTTGCGAGTACTTGGTATATTAACTATGACAAATTAAAATTGGGAGCTATGAAATAAATGTAGTAATTTGTTCTTGAAATAAATGGATTTTATATGTTTTACAATAAACGTGTGGTTAAAGAATATAAACATACAACAATAAATTGTAATAAATACAATCATTTAAAAAAGAATTACTTATTTTTAGTGTTTCATGACAATAAAAAAGCCATATACTTTTGCAGTTAAATATATAAAACTCATCTCTTTGGTGCCATTTTCGTGGGCTGTGGTGTGTGCTCGCACACACTGACGCATTCCCACTCGCCATATAAAGGCAGGCCAAACAAACGGAGACGGAGGTGGCAGAGGCGTCGACGTCGGCGGTGGCAGCGGTGCGGGCAGAGGCGTCGGCAGAGTCAGGCCAGACAGTCTGTCGCCAGAAAAATCCGCACTCACACAGACGCAAGTACTGCACTCACACACACGCCCACGCACTGAGAGAAACGGGGGCTGGGCGAAGGGGCGTCGGGAAGGGGGAAGGGGGAAGTGGGGGAGTGGGCAGTGGAGGCGTCGGCGTCGACGTCGCTGCCCACTGTTGTTGTATCTCGGTTGAGAAATCGCTCGAAAAAGCGAAGCGCAAAGCAAAGCAAAATTCCATTTAGATTATGCTCTGTGGCTCTTCTGCTTCTTCTTTAGCTGCACTGAGAAAAATCAACTTAAATGCAATTTCAGACATCACGTTCAGCTTGCTAGGAATGCACATAAAGAAAAAAAGTGTTTAAAAAAGTAATTTTCGTTTTCTTTTTACAAACATTAAAAGAAATATCTATTGACATAGAAATTTAGAAATTTGTAAAGTTCTAATCCTTTTGTATTATCCAGAGATTATCTTGTAAATGGAAAATTAATCTTTCAATAAAAACAGTATGACCATATTTAAAAATACTTCATTTTTTTAAATACATAACAAACTCAAAATGGTAAATGTTTGACTATTTGAAATAAAACTTTTTCAGTGTACAATGTAAGCCACCGAAAATTCGTAGAAAAATTGTGATGTTTGATTTTTCTAAAATTGTGTGCAGTGTATTAATCTTGTTGTTGTTGGCGCTTTTGACGAACTGAACGCGCTGCTTGGGAGGTGTTACTCTATAGAGTATGAAACACACACACGGAATGAACCCCAGAAGTACACACACACCGAAGCGACCACTCGATGTGGAGTGTGTGTGCGAGTGAGGTGTGCCGGTGTGAGTGTGAGTGCAGTATGCATTGCATTGCCAGACCGTCCGGCGCGCATAACGTCATCGGCACTTGGAACAGCGACAGTGGCGTCACTTCAAAGGGGGATTCCAAAAAAAAATTGAAGAAGAGGTTTAACTGGTGAAAACGAACTTAAATTCAGCTGTTTTGATATATTTTCAGCTGTACATCCTTCTGTTTTATTAAAATTTGCAGTTTAGGACTATCTGCTCCAAAAAGTATGCAATACTTCGTAAAAAACTAAAATATAAAGAAAAGTTTATACATTTTTTTTTGACAATTTACTATATAAAGAAGGCAAAACATTAGAATGATATGATTCAAAAATAGTTTTCGAAGGCAGATAAGATATCCAAGATATCGAGGAAAACTAGAATTCTAACCACCGATCGAGTCCCCTTTTTTTGGCTGCGCCCCTGTTCCCCCACTCGAGTACGAATTTTATCGCCCACGATTTCGGTTGTTGTTGCTCTACTGTTTGTTTTCGATACCCAGGCACACATACATATATATTGAAGTACCCAGGGGGTACTTGAGGTTCTATGGTTCAAAAAACCCCTCCTCTAGCCCGCCCATGAAAGAAATAAATATTCAAACAATTTCTCCCAACTAACAATCAAACGCTAAGTTTTATTTGCCATGTCAATGGAAATTGATGTTGATAATACTCAAGTAGCTATAATTTTGGAAAGTCTTATAGGTATGAAAGATTAGAAACTTCCCATTTAAATATGAAGGATGGTTATATTAGCTTATGGTATTTACAAAAACTACATCTATCCTTCATTATAACTTATAAATATTAATCTTTGTAAAGGATCCGCTTTCAAATGAACACTTGTTGTTATAATTAAAATTTGGCTCCATGATCTTGCATCTCAGGGAACTGAAGATTTTTAACTAAAATGAAACCGAATCCTGCTTATGGCATTTCCACTGATTCAAAAGATGGATTATCCCGCGAATTCCTTGGATCTTTCTCGACCCTTTCGGCCTGTCAGATGGCATATTCCTCAGGTGCCCGGCTGTCTGCAGATTTTATGTGAGTTTTAGGGATAAATCAAGTGAGGGGGGCGGCGGTTCGAAGGGGGGTCAGTTTGGAGAACTCCAGTCAAACTGTACTAAAGATAGAGCCGAACACGTTCCCAGTGCCAGCACACAGATACACACCAATACAAAAGAATAAAAAATACGAAAAAAAAAATACAGGAAACGCGGACGCCAATGGAGTAAAAGACCAGGGGCGGGGGCAGAGGACAGCGGACGGGGGACGGGGGATAAGTGCATATGTGGCCCCTGAAACTTAACACTTCTTTGGCTCCGGCTGCGAATATTAAAATACCCACTTAAGGCCAACAATAACAGCAGCAAAAGCAGAGAAAATGTGAAAAAGAGGAGCTAGAATTGAACTCAAGTAGTTTCCTCTCACACGGCAAGAAATAATTATAAGAAATGTAAATAATTAAAAAAATATTTGATTTAGATCAAAAAAGAAAGTAAAAGATTTTTTAATTTTTCACGTTCTTAATTTTTGAACAAAAAGCATAACAACTTTGTCCCTTTAAAAAATAATCGAATTTCTAATACGATGTAATATATATATTATTATATTTTTTTGTTAATGTAAATTGCATTTTTTGCAGTGCATAAACATGATCCGGCATTGGCGCCCGTGCGTCTGAATATGGAAATCGAAATGGGTTCGGTATGGTATGGTATGGTGGTTCGCTGTATATGGGAATGGGATATGGATAGGACACTTGAGTTTCGGGACGGGCTTAGCGTTATCCTAGGGGAGAGGAAAGGAAACCACTCGAAGGGGCGCTCGTCAGCACTTGAGAAAAGGAGAAGCAGGCAGACTGCATGGATATTAACTAATTGTCGGCCACAGAAATGCTGGGGAAGCGATCGACACGCCATTTAACACATTTGCACGCTCCAAAAGTATTTCCCTTTCGAGTTTACTCTGCACTCCATGGTAATTTCAGGAGCGACAAAGGTGATATTTGAGTTATTATTTCTTTTACCTTTTTCAAAAGAAATAAATGTATTTAAAAGGTTTTGTCCTTATTATGTTTTTTTGTAAAAGCAAAAAATGAAATATTTCAAAAGATATGCCCTTGAACTATTTTAATATATGATTTATAAAACTTTAAGTGGCTTGTAGATTATATTACCTAAATATAATATTTTATCCGTCCTTGCTTTTTTGCACTTATTTTCTACTTCAAAAATGTAGATTTGTCTTTTGGTCCGCCAAAAGTTTTGCCACAAATTCTGTTAGAAATTGTTAACATTAGCTTGCCCAAAAAATATGTTTGAAGGCTAAACAGAAAAACATAGTTGTACTTAATTGAAAAACAAAAGCAATTTTCAAACTTCGTAACATTTCTTGCAAATAATATACTATGTTTTCAAAAATTGCGCCAACATTATGAAAGTGTGTACACACTTGTGAGTGGCAATGTTGGTCTTCAGTAGTGAAACGGTCACACGTCACGCACTTTGAAACTATCGATACACAAACCCTCGACAGATGATCGATAGTGCCATCGATTGCAAGTGGCAAGGTGCAAAAAAGTGGGCAAAAAAGGTGCAATGTTTTAACGTTATTTAAATGCGTTAAGTGGAGTTGCATTGCAGACGACAACAACAATAACAACAGCAGTGTGGAATGCCGGCATTTAATTGATTTAACTGTTTTTTTTCTGCGGGCAGCGCAGCAGCAGAGCAGCAACAACAAAAACAAAAACATAAACTAAGCTCCACAAATACATATACATAAACACATATAAGCACTAATACAAAGGACGAAAAACAAACGGAAAAAGGAAAAACAAACACAAAGAAGGCAAGAAGAAGAAGACGAGGATAAAGGGAAAAGCAGCTTTTCCAGAAATTGGGTCGCGCCTTGCAAGCTTGGTTTGTTGTTGTTGTTGCTGGTGATTTTCACACGAATTTCATTCGCCTTTGTTGTTGTTGTGCTGTGTGCATTTGTTGCTGCCGTCGTCGTCGTCGTTTTGTTGTTGTTGTTGCTGCTGGCAGCTAAATGTTATGGCAACACTTGCAACCTGCATTTGTGTGGGTGAGTAGTAATTTTTTTTCCTTTTTACTGAATTTACTTTTTTTTCCCTGTAATTATTGTTTTTCCTTTATAAATTTGTGTTTTTTCTTGTTTTTTAAGAGTGAGAAGTGGAAAGCGAAAGGATAATACCAATATCTATTGGCAAGTCGGAAGGAAGCCTTAGATTTCCACCAGAATATCCTGGCAAAGTTTATGGCAACCCTACGCTTGTGTGTTTGTGTGGGTGAGTACTTAATTTATTGGTTAAAAAATTAGAAATTAAAACGCATTTGTCTTTATTTTATTTTTAAAAACACCAGTTCTAATATGTAAATGCAACAAAAACACAATTTTATTTAATGAATATCTATTTTTTCTGCTTTAGTCATACTATGCTTGTTTTTCGTTCTTATTTTTAAATCCTGAATTTAACCAAAAAAATTTACACATTATTTGTTTAAAAAATTAATTAAATTTTTTTTTACCTACTGTTTTTTTAATTTAATTTAATTTATAAACTGGAACTATTTGTATATAATATAACAAGTATTAAAATTTTTTATAAACATTAAATGTTTTTTTAAATAACCTTTAGTTTTTGTAAAAATTTTAATTATTTTCATACTTTTATTACTTGTAAAAACATTGCGTATTCCCTATTCTCATGGGTAAATTTCTTAACATTCCGTATTAATATTATGTTTCTATGTTAAAACCTAAACGTTTTATAGCTATTAAATTAATCTTTCAACATAAAATGTTTCATATAAAAATCCTTTTTTTCAGACTGACCCAGCGGAGTAGCTTGAAATCGAGAGGATACCACTGCTGCAGCCAGCCAGTCAGGCCTTAATCTCCACCAGAAACTGTTCAGCTCCAGAACCCGATCCCCCGACCATAGACACATAGAATACCACCAATAATCCCCGTGAAAAATGAGTGTGGTGGGCAAGCAACTGAATCCCGTGCAATCCTCCAATGCAGCTGCCGTGGCCACAGCGTCCTCCTCGGCCGCAGGATCCTCCTCGGCTGGCAGCGGAGTGGAGGCCAATGGCGGCAGTGGAGGAGCCGCGGGAGCTGCCGCATCGGGCGGCGCCTCCAATGACTCCAAACGAGCTGCGGAGCCATCCAGCGTGAGTCCCGATGAGGTGCTCCACCTGACCAAGATCACGGACGACTATCTCTGCTCCGCCAATGCAAATGTGTTCGAGATTGACTTCACGCGGTTCAAGATCCGCGACCTGGAGAGCGGTGCCGTGCTCTTCGAGATCGCCAAGCCGCCGAGCGAGCAATATCCCGACGGACTGTCCGTGGAGGAGACCATGCTGGCGGCAGCCGAGGAACTGTCGCTGGAGGACACTGCCGATCCAAATGCCGGACGCTATGTGCGCTATCAGTTCACACCGGCATTTCTCAACCTCAAAACAGTGGGAGCCACGTGCGTTGCATTGTATTTTGTTCCAAATATCTCTTTATCATTGTCTATCTTTGATTTCAGTGTGGAATTCACTGTGGGCAGCCAGCCTGTCAATAACTTCCGCATGATCGAACGCCACTTCTTCCGCGATCGCCTGCTAAAGACCTTCGACTTTGAGTTTGGCTACTGCATTCCATATTCGAAGAACACGTGCGAGCACATCTACGAGTTTCCTAACCTTCCACCCGACCTAGGTGAGCCATTTTACATAATCCCAGCCCAGCCCAGCCCGGCCAGCAGCCAAGTGCAAGTGACTGCCAAAATTTAAGGGGTTTGTGGGTCAAGGTCGTTTTCGTTTGGTGCTTGCAAGAAAAGGGGTTGTCCATGGCACATTAATGGGCTGTTATTTGCCAGGTTACTTTGGATGCCTACCACCTATCTGTGTATCTATCACTAGGATTTTTCTACAATTTTATTGAATGCAAAGCTTTAAGATTGTAAAAAATACTGTTGAATGTAGCATAGTTATGTGGGCTTATATATTTGTTTATTCGTTGTCTTAAAAGTTCAATTTTAATGTATTTTATATTAATTAATTTGTTAAATATTCTGGTAAACTGGTTAGTGATGGTATTCCTATACATTTAAGGAGGAAAATATGATGTTTTAAATATTATTGTGGCCATATACCATCTAGATTTAATTACATATTATCCAAATCACTAATATCTGGATTTATTTAACCAATTTCAGTGGCTGAGATGATATCGAGCCCCTTTGAGACGCGCTCGGACAGCTTTTACTTTGTGGAAAACAGACTCGTCATGCACAACAAAGCCGACTACGCCTACGATGGCGGCATTATAGTCTAGAAGCCCAACTAATGTGGATCTACAACTAGAGCAAAACTAATAACTAAAGAACTAAAAACTACAAATGCTGTGAGACAAAATCAATGACTTGTCACACACACGAAACACTCGAAACACCCACTCAAAACTCAAAACTGAAAGGGTTACACTCAAATTGAAAATTGAAAATGGAAAATTGAAAATCAACAATCACACACACACTCACAAACACATCGAATCGAATCGAGGAATATTATCACAGCCATTTTAGCCTTAGCACAAGAGTTTTACCCACCATTCCTGTTTGATGTATTTAGCAAGGATAATAACTCCTGTACACACTAACACAAACAAACAAAACAAACAAACAAACACACACTGAAGCACGCGGACTGTGTTCATTTATCAATGATTTCAACTTTGACTATATAATTTTAAGTGCAATGTGATTTCCCCTGATTTATATCTGTATTTATACACATTTATTTATTCCTAATAAGTAAGTACACTCACACACTCCCAACAAGAAACATACATATATATATATATATAAATACGTACGTATACACACACGAAACCAAAGAAAAACGAATTGGGACATTTCGAAAAATTGAGAATTGCCGTCAATTTTTGTATGCAGCATACGATCACACGAGATCTATCAGCTTCTTCATGGCATTTTTTTTCGTGTCTGTGTATGTATATTTTTTAACAAAAACCAGATGAGAAAAGAAAAAGCTAATGAAAATGGAATTCTGAAAATCTAAAGAATCTAACGATCACACGCCGAACAAGAATGATAAATTAAATTACATTTTAAATGTACATACACCACAAAACCTTGAAGTTGGGCCAACTATTTTGGGGAGGGTCAGTCAAAGCTGACGTCATTTGGAGTGCATTTCGTGACTGAAAGTACTTAAAAGTGCAGCTACAGTAAGTATTGGTGGGGAATAATTACCCAAGTTATGGAATCTAGATATTCACGTTTTGGTTCCCATTCTGGAAACACTTGAACATGAAAACCGGTTAAAAATTTGACCCTTGTTAAAAGTAAATATTTTAATGTAAAAGATTAGAGAATTCAATCACGAATTCATAGAGGTATCCCACGTTAAAATTGTGTTCCAATAACTAAGGTTATGGAATCTAGGAGTGCAGTTTTGGGTACCCATTTGAAAACCATTGGAAATACGGAAAAATCGAACATGGAAAAGGGCTAAAATTTTGAACCTCTTTAAAAAGAAATGTTTTAATGTAGAATATTAGAGAATTCAATCACGAATTCATAGAGGTATCCCACGTCAAAATCGGGTTACAATATCGAAAGTTATGGAATTTAGAAGTGCAGTTTTGGGTTCCCATTCTGAAAACCATTGGAAATACGGAAAAATCGATCATGAAAAAGGGCTACAATTTGGACCCTCCTTAAAAATAAATGTTTGAAAGTAGAATGCTAGAGATTTCAACCACAAATTTATAGAGGTATCCCACGTCTAAATCGGAATCCGACAACTCGAGTTATGGAATCTAGAAGTGCAGTTTTCGGTTCCCATACTGAAAACCATTGGAAGAATCTATGTAACATGAAAATGTAATCTTTAGATTCTGAAAATATTGCTATCCTACTCTTTTTGGTGCATGTTCTTGATCAGTAGTGATCTTAAACAACATGTCGAGCCCAATAAAAACACAGTTCATATTTAATTTAGCTAAAGTCTATCTATGAATGACTCCTTTGTACAATTGGCTAACAAATCAAATTTGGTCTAATCAGTTCTGTTCAGGAACTCGGTGACTAATGTTATAAACTGCTGCGGCTGTTCGAAATGCACCAGATGTCCGGCTTCCAACCAGTGGATCTCCGAATTGGGGAACATCTCCACAATCTGCGGCCACTGTTCGCGTCTGAAATCAGGAAAAGATTATATTATTAAGGATTGCAAAGGTTAGGCCCGTAGAAAAGCACCTCATTTACCTCATATAGGGTGAACGCGTTCCGCAGATAAAAGTGGTGGGTCCCGTGTACGGGGGCAGTTCTTCCAGAGTGTTCTGGTAGTTATCGAAGCGGGTGAGGAAATTTCGAAGAACCGGCGCATTGCAGGCCCAAGAGAATCTGAAAGGGAATTTGTTATTTTAATCCATTGACAAAAAGCCTTTTGTGCCAAACTTACACCCCGGAATTGGGATCTTTTCGCAGATTCAGCATGATAAAGTCCACGGTCTGGTCTTCGGTGGCTTGCAGAAGGGTGTTCCTTGCTAATTTTCGGCCCTCGGACATGGGCAAAGTCGGTGAGAGATCCAAAGAAACCATCGCATCGAAGATTGCCGTCATCTCTCCAGTGGAACGAGGTACGCTTATGGGCGATATGTCTACCACTATTAAACGCTCCACCAACTCGGGCTGGAATAAAAGAAATAATGATTTATTGTGGTATAATAAGTATTAAATGCGTTACTGATTAAGTATAGAAATCGAATACAACCAGTCAAAGGAAATTATTGAACTACTTTGAGTTTATTTATATAATTTAACTATATTGAAGCATTCAAGAATAAAGATTAAAGAAGAGAAATTTAAGTAGAACAGCTAACAATAAGTATAAGTATTTATTTAATAGAACATTTAAAACAAACCTTGGTATATCTTTAGAATCATATCCTGCAGTCATCCTAGGTAAATAACAATAAAATATTTCATAAATACAATATCTTTGATATCTTAGCATTATCTTTTTTTATGTCCTGTAATTTGTAAAGGTTCTTTAACTAAACCCTCTCGAAATCTCTATATCAAAGTATGCACAAGTTTTCCTTGTTATAAGGACTATGACCGTATATTTTTTGAACTTATCCTGAACATTATTATGTTGTTTAACTTGAATTAAAACATTAACTTACTTCATAACATATTAATTTCTAAAGCTTTACATATATAACAATTCACTAGGCAGTGAAACTTTTAATAATAAATTTAAAAGCCAATGGCTTTCTTCATTTCATAATAATTAGAAATTTGTGGGCTTTAAAAATCATAAGAATATTTGTTGGATCATATCATTAGGTGATCCTAAACATGTTGGTTATATTGCTTTCTTTAGGGAATTCTCCATGGAACCCCTTGAAATACTCACATATTTCCGGGCGAAGTACATCATAGACCTGCCTCCCATGCTGTGACCCATGCAGGCGGCCTTCGGGTGGCTGTGCTGTTCCAGAAACAGACGCACATCCTCGCTCATCGCCCTGGAAGTGTGGACATCCGAATGGGGACTCTCGCCATGATTCCGGCTATCAATTGCATACACCTATGGGAAGGAATTCCTTGATATTATATGGGGTAAACCCATGGAGAACTTAATGACCCACCTTCCTGGGGACTTTCCGCACCAGAGCCCTGCTAATTCCCCGCCAATTCTGCTTGGAACCGAAGAGCCCATGATAGGTCACCAAAGGTGGCCTCGTTTCCGGATTCTCCCCGGTGTACAAGTCGAAGCTCAGCTCTAGGGGCTCTGGGGCTTCCGAGGAGTACTCCTTCCTCGACAGGACCTTGGCCCCCAGAGGACTCCATGGCGCAGGAGAAAGGAGCTTTCCCGCGGAATACGAAAGTAAACGTAATGATTTCGTGAGGCGCTCCATCTGCTGGCCAGTGTGTACACACGCCACCGGCGGGAAAACCTAAATGGACAGTGGTGTGGATGCCAAGGGGGATGTATGTGTGTTCCACCAGTTGCGTAATGAAAATGAAATTTAAGAAATTTGGTTATTTTCGAACATTGTGCCAATTGTAGAGTGGAGTCAAGTATACTGGTTGGTTGATTTTTTAACTATTTACATGTTCTAGGCAATTATCAGGGGCGTAGTCGAAAAAAGTGCTTAGGGAAATTCTAAATCATGAAAATATGTTGGTAAGTTAATAAGCTATATGAAATTGTGTTTCTGATTATTTCAAAAAGTAAAACTGATATATAACAATTTCAAGGAAATTTAAGTTAACAATTATTATAAATTATCACAACTGCAATTACGCTATATTTTTACGTTACGTTTTCTAAACTTTTGTAACTTCTTAGTTTTAAGGGGCACTTAAGCCGTCCAAATCCCTCTTGGCGACGACTATGCCTGCTAAGTGGCAACTCTGACGCCACGCTTTTACCTTATTTAGGGTATTTTCTTCCAACGGCATTGCCCGCCACGCCGCTTACGGTCACACTAGACGAACAGCCGCCATATTTTCTGCGGCGGACACAAAATTTTCGATACAGGCGTTATATTTTAACTAAAATCAAATCCAGAGCAATTTCCGGAGTCCCAAAAAGCGATTTTCCAGGTAACCCAGACGCCAAGCAGCCGGGAACAGGGGCTTTCCAGTCCACCGACTAAAGAAGGGGGAAAGCGCGGCGCTGACGTCGGCAGAGGCAGCGCAGCGGCGCTCTCGCTCGCACCCGCACGATTGAAACATAGGTAAGCAGCAACAACAAACGAGCATATTGCTGAAACCAGACCAACAAATTGATATATTTTCAAGTATTCTATTTTTCCCCTCCAAAAAAATGAAAACTAAAAAAAGTACAAAGTTAAGCTCAAAATGTAACACAGTTAACAGTAAAAGTCGAAAGTCAGTAAGTGCAAAAAGTGGTTAAAGTTGTTAAGTACATCTAATTTCGGTCGCGAAAAGTGCGAAAAAGTCCGCAAAAATGCAAGTCTGCAAAAATCCAAATAATTAACTCTCTCCTGTGTGTGCGTCTGTGTGTGCGTGTCCTTAACTGTGTGTGGGAGGGGGGGAGCGCGAGAATAGAAAAATTTTTCCAATTGCTCACACTCTCTCTCTTGCTCTCTGTTATCTCTCTCGTTCGCGTCAAGAAAATTAATCAAAAGAAAATAAAATACGAAAAAAAAACAGTAGCACACACACACAATATAATCAATAAATTAAAAAAGATAAATGCTAATAAAAGAAATGAAGGTAAGAACCCCACTAAAAGTTAAAAGCAACAAAAAAACTTATCGATCAAAACTTTTATACTTCCTCTCATTCCCACAAAAAAAAAATGATACCAACATCGATTGTCTTGCCCCATCGCGTTATCGGAGCAGTCGAACATTATCGACCATCGACATTTGTTGGGGCTTTTGACCTTGACCTTGGTTTTGTTTCCCTTTCTCTCCATCCCTTTATCCGTTTTTATCGATTATAAGTTATCGCAAATATTTGATCAGAAAGAGTACATAAGAGTAAAGCCGTGTTGATTGTTCGATCGATAACTCAGAAAAAGTATATAATATTTGAGAACATAACTTTTTAACTACATCGACTAGTAAATTGCTTTTCCTCAATTAAGGAGTGATGAAAATAGGAAACCACGTGGTTTCCACAGTTTATATAAGTGTGTATGTATGTCTATGAATTAACTGAACTAAGTAGACAATAAAAAGTTATTATCCTACCGGTTTACAAATTCTAGTATTTTTGAGACCTATGTCTTTAGATGAAAATAAAAAGTATTACAAAGTTTGTCCGCTTATTAAACCGGTTATTCCTCTCAAGAAGCCGCCAACAAATGATCGACTTGCTCCACTAGTTTTGCCCCGGTTACATTTCCCCCACCAAGAAGTGGTGGTTTATTATCGTCTAAGATTTGACCAGGGTGTTGAGTGAGTACAGCCATGCCAGCTTAACTAACTCCAGATCCTTTCGAATCTCCTCCAGAAACGCCAAGGAACGAGTTGCCCGCACCGGCGTAAGGCTAACCCATGGTCCTCGACATGGAATCGGACGATTCTCGTGCCAGTTCCCCGTCCAATTCCTCGGAGTCGCGGTCGAATTCGCCCACCAACGACAAGGAGGATATTGCTATGGATCAGGACCAGGCCGAGGAGTCCGGTGGTGGTCCCACTCTAGATCGATCGGCTCGAGCACCCTCCACCAGCAGCTCATCGTCCAACTCCAGTTCCAGTTCGAGTCGCAGTGAGGTGTCCAAGAAGCAGAAGAAGAGCTCGAGCAGTAGCAGCGGCAGTGCCAGTGGCAGCAGCTCTTCCAGTGGCTCCTCCAGCGAAGATGAGCCTGACCAGGAGCAGGAACAGGAGCAGGAGCGGTTGCCTGAACAGCAACAGCAGCAGCAGCAGCAAAATGAGCCTGAGCCTGAGTCTGAGCCCGCCCAAGCGGAATCCGAATCCGCGCCTGTAACGCCTGCAGAAGCGGAGCAACCCGGTTCGCCGAGCGCCAAGTCGCAGCCCAGCTCGTTCCTCTCATCCGTTCGGAGTCGGAGCAACAGCCCCCAGCTGTACAATCAGGCTGCCGTGGATCTGAACATCAGCCACGAGGATCTGAGCGATGTTAGCGACATCGAGGCGGATGAGAAGCGATCACCGTCCAAGAATTCGCCGCAACGGGCGGACGAGGACGAGGATGGTGCCATCTCCAATGACTCACTGCCCGCTGTGGAAGAGGAGGACGAGGTGCAGCAGGAGCTGCCCAAACAGAACGGCAAGGCGGCCAGCGGGGATGAGGAGAACGAGAAAAGTTCCAAAGAAACCAAAGTGAGCTCTAGTTTTATAAAAAAAACATAAGTTTTTCTAAATGTTACCAAATGTTTGTTGGTTTTAAATGTCACATTTATTAAAATATCATATTTATTCCAGTCCGACGAAGCCGCCAATGGACGAGCGCCAGCGTCTGCCTTGGAGGAGGATTTGGTGAAGACGCACGACGACGACGCCTTGGACTTTGAGGCGGAGGAGGGCGAGTGTGCGGAGCCGGTGAAGCAGCCACCGTCGGAGAACAAAGCCAACGAAACAAACCAGGCCAAGAGCACGACCAAGGTTCCGGATGACGATGACGACGATGGTGAAGTGGACTGCGATGAGGATGACGCTGATGACAAGGACAAACGAAAGGATAGCGCGGGCAATGGCAGCTTGGAGGAGGGAGAGGAGGCGAAGGACAAGGAGGGGTCGGCTTCGTCTTCGCCCAGCAAGCGGAAAAAGGAAGAGGAGGAGCTGGAAGAGGGCGAGGTGTCGGACGAGGACGAAAAGCGACCGGAGGAGACAGAACCGAAGCCGGTGTGTCGATTCTACACTCGTGGACAGTGCACCTGGGGCATGAGCTGTCGCTTCCTGCATCCCGGAGTCACGGACAAGGGCAACTACACAATGTTCGAGAGCCTTGTGCGTTCGGTGCCAATGCAAGGCGGTTCAGCCGCAGCCGTAGCCGCCGGAGCGGGTCCATCGATAGCTGCTGCTCGGGCCGGAGCGGGTGCCTATAGCGCGCACCCCTCGGCGGCGGCTGAATATCATGACTATCGGAATGAGCGTCCAGCGCTGCACCACCGGCCAGCGCTCCTCCATGCGCCCAGTATTTACGGTGCCCATGCTCACGACACTCGCCCCTTGCTCCCCGACGGAGCACCGGTGGTGGTGGAGAATGCCTGGGAACGTGGCCTGCGCACCGCCAAGGAGATGATGCGCAAGGCCAACAAGCGCAAAGAGCAGGACATGGACTTTGAGGACAAGAAGATGAACTTAACCCTGTCGCCCGATGAAATGGAGAAAGATTCGTACTACCTCAAGGATCGCGGCGGCAGTAGCGCTCGATCACCGCCACCGCCCTCGGCCTCTGCGCGCGAGCCGCCACTCAATCCACTCAGCATGCCGATCTCCATGCATCCGCATGCCGTTGGCCATGCCAATCCGCGTGCCCTCCTGCCCCTGCAGTACTCCGTGTACGGACCGCCGCCGGATCGTTACGGCCGCTCTCAGTATATGCCACCGCAGTTTGAGGATGTGGATGCGTACGGTCGGATGGCAAGATATCGCGAGCTACCGCCCCATAGGATGCCGCACTACGAGGACGATCGGAGATCGAGGCCAACGCGCGAGGTGATTGTCCAGCGAGTGGAGGCCGCCGGACGGGGTGATGAGTGGAGTGATCCCTGGATGCGATCCAAGTCGATTGGACGTGGTTCCTACGATCGGGAGGATCGCCGGCGTAGGGACAGGCGAAGCTACAGCAGCAACTCGTCGTACTCCACCTCGAATAGCTCGCAGAGCGATTCCAGTTCGGACTCGTCGCGGTCGAGCAGTCCCTCTGAACACAAGCGGCGCTACGGTGGCAGTTCGCACAAGCTAGCCGGCACCTCCGCTTCCTCACGCCGTCATGGAGGTAGGGCGGCCCGCTCGCCTAGCCAGATACCGCGCCGGCCCAGGCACTCTTCCAGTGAGTACTGCACTTATCCAATAAATGCTTCGAACATGATCTTAATCCTTTAATTTCCCTTTATAGAAGGAAGCCTCTCGCCTTCGTACAAGCGACCCGCTTTGGACAAGCGCGGCACTGGTCTCAGTCCTGCCACGAAGCGGAAGAAGATGTCGTCGCCGGCACCCAAGCTAAGGAGACGGCGCAGTTCCAGTACATCCGACTCAGGTAAGAATATTCGGTTTATCTGCCCCCATCTATCTATTCTAATTTGGCTTCGAATCTTTCTCAGATTCATCGGATACCTCGTACTCCGAATCAGAATCGGGCTCCTCGTCGTCGGACAGCTCGTCCGGATCAAGGGATACACCCCAAAAGCGTGTGAGAGCCACTGACAAGGCGCTCAACGAGCGCAAGCTTATTAAGAAGCGTAAGCATCACAATTGGGGTCTATAACTGAAAAATAGTCCATAATTTCGTAGCTATTTTGTAGTCTAAAGAAATTTTGGAAACAGGCAGCTTTTTTACACTCCATATAACTTTTTTATTTTAAATTAAGTTAGCTGTATCACATTTTTAAA